CGCCTACGGGGCACGGCCATGGCCGCCGCCCGAGCACGAGCTCCGGCCGGCTGCCGCGCCTTGCTTCACCATCCGCCGTTCCGGCAGCGGGTCAGTGGGTGCTAGCGGTGGCCTCGTCCAGGCGGCTCGTTCTCATAGCTCGCTCTCCAAATTTCCCCTCCCAAATTTGAGTCGAGCGACTCAGACAACAGGACTAGTCCAGACTAGTCGACTAGTCTCTTGACCGCTCGACTCATCGAATTAGTCTACACGAGATTCGCAGTCGACACCACAGTTGCGACTCATAGACTAGTCCATCGACTAGTCTCGACTAGTCCTTCGACTCGTAATCAGTGCTCCTACTGTCCTATACAACAACAGAATGCATCAGAACACGACAAGGGGGTTGCTTCAGACCAAGGGACCCTTCCAAGAGAAGGAACAAAATCCTAGTGCCTATATTGATGTTTTAAAAGATGCATTATCTTAGAATTAATACATCCGTCCCATAATGTAAGACGTTTTTCGACACTACACTCGAAAAACGTCTTACATTATGGGACGGAGGTAGTAATTCTAATTTTAATCAATTGCTACTTTTAATGTAAATTATTGTTTAGCCTAGTAGGCATTTGCTAAAAACAGAAGTTTATTACATTTCAATACAACAACAAAGCCTTTAGTCCCAAACAAGTTGGGGTAGGCTAGAGCTGAAACCCATAAGATCTCGAAACCAACTCATGGTTCTGGCACGTGGATAGCTAAACTTCCACACACCCCTGTCAATTTGTAGGTATGTTTTGAAATGTCCCCATGGCAAATTGTAGATAATATTTTTTTTACGTATTGTACCATGGCAAATTTCTTTTTGTATGTAGCATGTCAATTTCATGTTACATATAAGATGAATTTTTCATTGTGTTAAGGCATTTTTCATGTTACATATAGGTGGCATTTTCATGTTACAAAGAGGTGGCATTTTCCTACTGTCATGGTATTTCTATCTCTGTTTTTATGTATACATCCATGCTTTTTTTTTCTCTTATGTCTAAATTATACATTTTTTTGGCAATTCATGTATCATAATTTTTCGATTTTTTGTTGACGGCATTTTTTTGCAAAAAGCAGTTAATTGGGCTAGCCAGTTTTGTCCCACGCGCTTTGCTTTATTTCTGGG